TTGGTTCACAGGTTTGAGCCAATTATCAGCAGGTGTTTCTTGTCACACTGTTACTACAAATGTCCTCCCAGCGCTTTAACCACATTGAGATGGATGGACAGCCTCAGAAAGTAATGAAGCACAGAAACGGTAGTAGGAACTTTCAGAGGATGTGGCTGAACTGGCTTCTGCTTGTTTTTCTCAACACTAATCATTTAGTGAACTCATTCTCTTTTGAAGCTGATGACATTGATCCAGAGGCAGAATGGGACTCGATGGAAAGTTTAACATTAAGCGTAGATGATTATGACAGCGATTTGTTTATGCCAAAAACCAAAAGGCTCTTAAACACGAACCCTCCGCTAAAACTACCGGCGTCGGTACGAATTCCAGCGGATGAACTCTACAAAGAGCATTTCACCCCTGAAAAGGGCGGTAAACCGATGCCTCCGCTGGTCAAGTCAATACTTCTTCCCGCAGCACCTACCGCGATATCCGGTACTCCGGTCTCCGGTGCGCCGAAGATTGTGGAGGTGTTGTGTTACCTGGACCGGATGTACGTGAGAGTCCTGAAGAGGTTTTGTACCAGTCCAGGCGCGTGGACGCATTTGAAACTGGGAACGTGTGCTGTCAATAAAGCCACGGCCACTCACTATTATCTTCTGTACTCTCTGAAAGAATGTGGCGTAAAACGAGAGGTGGGCGACTATATGGCGACGTACACACTGTAGCTAAATTAGGCTATCAATTCACTTTCAAGTGCTTAATCCTGTTGTGTACACAGTTCAGTAATTTAGGGGATTGACAGCCGCCTTCTACAACCGAACCGCTGTTAATGACGTATTTAAAGGTGCAGTCCGTAACTTTTTTTTTTATTTTTATTTTTTATTTTTTTTAATTATCCAACATCCATTTGAGCAGGTACTTAACCAGCCAGTGTTCAAAACTATCGCCTTACTTTAGCCCGATTCACAACGGTAAGCTTGTAATAAAGTTTTCAAATTTGAGTGCTATGGGTAGGTTTTCCGGGAAATTCGACCATGGTGCAGCGTCATTACGTCACGTCTGTAAACAAAGAAGTTGTCCCGGCTAGTATGCTATATCGCACGTGAGGGTGCTGCAGGTGACCGATCGTTTAGCTTTTTCTCACAGCAGCTGGAATAAATGGTGGGTTGTAATCAGGGGCGTCATGCACTCATGATTTGAGGGGGCACGAGTGGGGGTAGGGGGGGCGCTCGTCATGCTTGTCAAGTGACACAGTAGCCACAATATAACTGCTAGGCTTTTTTTTTTATTTTTTTTATTCTAAATATTTCCAAACGTGTTTAACTACATAAGGAAATATCTGGATTCTCAAACATGTGTAAGTAAATGCGTTTTACACTAGATTATTTGATCTATAATGGGTGAGGGGCAAAGTAGAGTAATAGTGTAATCTATTAACTGCACATAAAAAAACCCGGCTTCTTAAGTACCAGATATGGGTGTCAGGCCGTAAAATATTTTTAATACGACTGACTTTGTATTAATTGTGAATTTTAATAATATTGTTAGTTACTAACTTTTACATTTTACAGAGAGTAAAGAATTTACATTTATCAAAGAACATTTTCACTTCAGTCTAGCCAGAGTTCAGACAATCTCAAAAACTCCCATTTAAATCACTGAAGCTGTTTACACTGTGAAATGAATATCTTCCTTGCATTCGTACGCACATCTGCACTTTGTTTATAATTCAGTCAGCGAGCAAGTGAACAAAACACCGCGTTTCAGCGATGACTCGTCTGACCACTTCTGATTGGTAATTGCATTCATAAGCTCAACAGAATCGTGTGTGATTGGTTATATATAATGCAGCGCTGTACAGAGGCACATGCCCCCTCACTTTGAATGGGCATAACGCCTCTGATTGTAATCCAGAAAGGTCGAAACGACAATCATCAGTGACTGGAGGTTCACCCGTAATCAAAAAATTGAAATCTACAGGTAAGGCTAATACACACTAAATACACGCACTCACGCAATGCTGATGTTATTAACGTCAACAATCCGAAAACAAAGTATAAAAATAATAATAATTGGCACGGTTTGATGTGATATGAGCTAACTGATTGTTAGATTTAATCACCATTGATAGCGCAATTTATTGTAATGCTTTTTTCCTCAGTTGATTACAACAAAAGTGGCAGTTGTTACTTAACTGTTCAGATGACATTCTCCAGTGAAAACTCTTGTTTGGGTCATACTTTCAAGATGTACTAATCTGTGAATACAAAGTGCAGTATCTGCAGACTGACGGCCACACATTAGATTCATCCGGCGCTTGAGCCGTGCTGGTGCACAACCCACGCAAGGAAGATAATTCCGCAAGTAGCTGCAATTGCAGGCATTCAAACAGATGGTGACAAAGAGGAAAAACTTATGGACTGCAGCTTTAAATTCGCATCAGAGATGTGAACAAGACTCCTCTTTAGACGGTAGTTTGGTTAACATTGCAGAACACAACGAGTCTATGGTTGCTGTAACCTTACTTATGTCAGAAATAGCGGATACCAGCGTGATTACCATGGTGTCAGTTCGAGAGCGAGTTGCGTTTACACGCACTGAACGATAATCTAGGGCAGGGTTCCTCAAATCTTGCCCTGGAGGGCCAATGCGCTGCAGAGTTTAGCTCCAACCCTGATCAAATTAACCTACCTGTGATTTTCTAATGATCCTGAAGACATTGATTAGGGGATTCACTCCCGTAGGCTACATGGTTCAATGCGGTGTCACTCCTGAATCTTTACAGTGTGTACGTGGCCTTTTGGTGACATGTTTAATTTCAGGAGGATGCCAATCGAGTGACTTACATGAACACACTCCACTATACACCAGCTGTCACTGGGTTGATTGTGAGGGACCTGCCGTTTTCAATGCCTATTCGTTGTAGCTACACAAAGTAAAGTGGTTTTTCATTTCTGTGGCATGATTTGAAACGCTAAATGCTAAATTCAAGTTTCATTAGCTTATTTTTTTTTTTTTTTTGAAGGTTCCATCGCTCTTATCAGGTTGGATTCATACCCAAGATAGCAGGTGGAACCATTTACAGGGCCCTACAAACTGAAGCAGGGTTCTCGGTTACGGCAATGGATGGTATATTGTTATTTATTAACTTATTTAGTTTCATTTATAACACAAATGCATAGTTTGAGTGGTTTTTAATAAAATTATAAGCTCCACGTTTCTGTTTTTAAGTTCTCCAAGATTGGCCTCATTTTCATCCTCATTTGTTTGAGGGACTGGGCAAATTTATGTTTTGTGGTGATCTGCATTATGCCACAAATTCAGTTGATTGAGATTAATTTATAGTGAACTGAATATATTATTTTTAAGTGTAAACTGATTTGATTTGTAGTTTGTGGTTTCAGCATCTTGGAGCTTGCTTGTTGATGGCCAGAGTTTTGTCCTTGGCAAACCCATATGCTTTGAAGCCAAAGGCCCCAGTGATGCAAACAAACGGCTGTACCTGAACAGTTGTTTTGTCAGTTCCAGTCCAAACCCTCAGTCGATGGAGAAATATTCTGTGGTGGAGAATTATGGGTAAATATGATCCTTTCATGCTGATTTATTAAAGAAATCAACTTGTATTGCTGTTTCCACAATTTAAGTGTCATTGGGTTAAGTTTGACTGTAGCTTAGATTTACTTGGGTCACTGTATTAAAGTCCACATTAAATCATGACCACATGAAATTAATTTTTACTTTTTTTGTTTTTTTTTTGCAGTGTTTATTATAAGTGATCCATTCACTGGATTACAAAAGTTAATTTGGCCCCTAATCTTTTTAAAAATTGAAAAACATTAACAATCCCCCCCACCCCCAAAATTAGCAAGTGACGACGATCCAAAAAGTTACAGATGGATAAATCAAATCCTTCCTTTACCCCCTTCTCATTATACAATAAGACTGCATCACAATGGAGAAGAAATGACCATAATTTTTATTATCATCTGTGTAGATGCCTGGTGGACAGCAAGAACAGTGTTCTGACAAAGTTCCACACTAGTGTTAACAAGATGACTGTGAGGCTTTGTGTTGCAGCTTTTCTGTTTAAAAACATGATTTCTCTGCCACAGTCCAAAAAGGTAAAAACATGAAACATCTTAATGAATTCCTGGTTTGTTTGACTTCTTTTATAAGACTGCATCACAATGGAGAAGAAATGACCATAATTTTTATCATCATCTGTGTAGATGCCTGGTGGACAGCAAGAACAGTGTTCTGACAAAGTTCCACACTAGTGTTAACAAGATGACTGTGAGGCTTTGTGTTGCAGCTTTTCTGTTTAAAAACATGATTTCTCTGCCACAGTCCAAAAAGGTAAAAACATGAAACATCTTAATGAATTCCTGGTTTGTTTGACTTCTTTTAAAAACTCCTCTCTTCCCTTTGTAGACTATGTTTATGCATTGTGAGTTGGACTTTGGACCACAGACTCCTACACCAACTGCCAAGTCTTGCACGTACAATGCAAAAACCAAGACGTGAGTTAAGCACATAAGGATCAGAAATGTACTCTCAAAATGTGCAACATTTCTGCTCTAATGGTTATATCCCCTTTGCATATTCTATTAAACTGTTTGCAAGTGATTTTTTTTTTTTGTTCAATTCATCTATCACAGTCTGAGAGTATAGTAATTGTAGATGTTTGTGTGCTTTAGGTGGACTGAGCTATATGGCGATGCCACTGTCTGTGACTGTTGTTCATCTACATGTCCCACTTCTCAACTACCATCTGGTCTGTACAAATGGATTCATTTCCTAAATGAAATTGTTTTATTTACCCAAATTTCTTCCTTGCTGACCAAGTTTGTGTTTCTATCAGATAAGAAAATGATCACCAGTGATTCTTGGGACTTGAAGATGCGCCCAGAAACCTCATCACCTCTTTCACCAGAGTCCATGCCTGCATTTTCTTTATCTGGCCATGATGACTTTGAGTTGTTCTGGGAATCAGATGGTTACTAGGAGGATGTTTGTTTTTTACAGATAGCAGATGTCTTAAGGACTCTAAAGTGCCAATTTTGTGGTTATGCCTTGTGATGTTAATGTGATAAACTGAAGTTACAAATTATTTTGTCTTTTTACATTTGTCACCCATGGAGTGAATGCATTATGAAATGTAAGTGAACAGCTGATCAAAAGTACATCTACACATTTCTGGCACAGCATCTCATAAAATTAAGTTTTTTTTATTTTTTTTTTATAGAATGTTTCTCATTGATCCATATTCATACATCAACACTGGCATATTTCTAATCATCTCCAGTAAGTGTCTATTTGTTTTTAAGTACAACTCTTCATTTGACAATGGCAGAAACAAGTTAACCGGTTTTCCCACTCTGAACTCTTCTGGAATTCCAATCTCACTAGGAATGAGACTGTTCCCAACCAGAGCGTGGTTAAGTGATTTAGCTTTGACTTTTTGCTGTAAGAAAGTCAGCAGATCATTAAGCCTGCAAGCCATCTGCTCAGGGTCCCAAGATGAGGGTTTGTTGACCAGAAGATGTAACAGTGCGTTCTTCAAGTGGAAGCTTGTTAGCCCACATGGTCCAGTCAGGCCAGTTTGGTGTTTGTGTAGGAATGAAAGTATTTGTAGACAATGAATATGGCATGTGTTGTTTGGAAGTGAATTGGTTATGCGTTGAAGAAGGGCATTTTCGTAACGTGTAAAACATACAGGCCAATGGATGTCAGAAAAAATGGCGGAGGGAAGATACGGGGTCAGATGTACCTCAGAGTCTTTAAATCTGACTACAGGTGTGAGTTTAAACAGAATGACCCTACCTGACCTGAACCGAACTCTGAGACTTCCAGGGTTTTCCCTATTCTGGAATATTAGCTCAAACTCATACTTGTGGCTGATCTCATCCCATGCTTTCCAAATAGCTGTCTTAAACCACTTCACAACATGTGTTTTAGCAAGATATGAGCTGTTCTCTTGGCATAGAAGGTAATTTATGTTGCTTTCAGTCACGTTATTTTTTTTATCTGGATGTATAAGACACAAGGTATCGTCATCATCTAGGTTGGAATTGCTGCAAGGACAGATGGCTAAACTGGCATTGCCTTTGGTCATCTTGACTCTGCAACAGTATTGGATGGTTGAAGAACCTCTACTTTCTTTCAAAAGCTCAAACTCGAAGCTATAAGGCTTTGGAGGGATGATGGGTACATGGATGTCACACACGACGCTCTTTCTTGAAGCCCATTGCTCGTATAAGCTGCCAACGCCAACAAAGTCCTCAATCTCCATGTCTGAACCTTTAGCCCTCACAGCTTCAAGCAGGTCGTTCACAAAACCCTCCACGAACTCACAAGTTTGCCAACTGTGACTGGGTGGAACCAGGACACACTGGTTATGGAAGCTAGTTAAGGTCTTGGAATCAAGATCAGAAACCTTGGAGACGTTCAAGCATCTTGGTGTCTTCCTTTGTGACTTGGAACCCTTTCTGAGGAACTTTTTTAAAATACGATAAAATGAAATCAAGGAGAGTGTCTTCCAAAGGTACCAACTGTAGGTGTCCTCTTGGTCACTAGATTGTTTCCCTTGAGTTATCATTGTCAACCTTTGACTTGAAGTTGCTATTTTTTGGTCGATGAGTAATCGCTGATCAGCTTGATGTTCATGATGGATGTCAGTGTGGTCAGCTTGTGGCTTTTCCGGCTGTGCCACATCCCCCTGAGAGACATTCTGGTCCACAGTGGGTCCTGACTGGTCCATGTTGACGTGCTCATGTGTTAGGCCTTCCTTTGGCATATGCAATGTCCGTTTGTCTGTGTCAATATCCAATATTTCCTGGTCATCTGGTGCAAATGCCTTTTGGCGGAAGTCATTTTGCTCTCCCACTGGGGACATTTGCTCCTCGTGCAGCACTGTGGTCTTGACATTTGGCGTAATTTGTTGAACATCTGACGTGTCCCCCTCTCCTTTCGGCACCCTGCGAAGACTTTGTGACTCTTCCTGATTTGATTGTGGCAGCTCCATGGCAACATCATGCTCCCCTTGTTCTAGCTTTGCCCCCTCCTCTATGACAAAGTGCTCATGGTCTTGCATGCTCACCATGATGTTGTCATCTTGGTTGTGAAAGACATTGTGGTCCTTTGAGAGGAGCAGACTGACAACCACGACAAACACGTTTAGTAATGTGTCCTCCATCCTGTGAGTGAAAAAAAGTTACTTCCTGCTCACAAAGCTGTATTTTCTGTATTAAAATATTAGAAAATCTATAACCCGCATCATTAGCAATAAAGAGTTAACTGTTTGAGTATTGAATTGCTTTTGAAATAATATATTACTGCGTTAATGTTCTGGTAGCACTTGTGTCCGTCATTCTGAAATATTTCATTTACGTTATCCAATATTGCTTAATGGATATTTTATATATATGATTAAATAACTTACCTTTCAGAACCCGAACTTTAGGCACAGAAAAGCCGAAAGTATAAATTGGCTGAAAATGTTTCTTGCAGAGCTCAGTTTGGTTTTTTGTTTCTCACACAGGATGTACCCTGTCAGAGTTTTGAGTTTGACAGCACACTTCCTGAACACTGTGCTGTCGTACAACCCTTCCTCTTTTTTTAAAATAGTACACCAGTGACACATGCAATGATATATGCAGGTTTGTCCAGTTGCTGTGTATGGACCATAAAATAAAATGTGAATCATTCCGTAGTCAAAATTAACCTTTTTTGTATGTAGCCTATTATTAGTGGTGCTTTTTAAGCTACACTGAACAAAATTATAAACGCAACACTTTTGTTTTTGCCCCCATTTTTCATGAGCTGAACTCTATTTCTGACTTTTTCTATGTACACAAAAGGTCGATTTCTCTCAAATATTGTTCACAAATCTGTCTAAATCTGTGTTGGTGAGCAAGTCTTCTTTGCCTCACAGGTGTGGCATATCAAGATGCTGATTAGACAGCATGATTATTGCACAGGTGTGCCTTAGGCTGGCCACAATAAAAGGTCACTCTAAAATGTGCAGTTTTATCACACAGCACAATGCCACAGATGTTGCAAGTTTTGAGGGAGCGTGCAATTGGCATGCTGACTGCAGGAGTGTCCACCAGAGCTGTTGCCCATGAATTGAATGTTAACAAAAGTGTTGCGTTTATAATTTTGTTCAGTGTATTAATTCCAGAACTTTTAGAATTGACTTTATATTTCACTTTGATCACTCAAATAATTATGATCCTTTAGCTGTCAAGCTTTTAAAAAAATGGGGTTTAATTTAATGCTGTTATGGTGTTGCACTGTTTATGAATGAATCGCGAGTAAATCATTTAAAGACTCATGATATTCCAGCAGACTCACTGTCGCCACCTACAGGTATAAAGATGAAGTGGTGATCAAATGTGAACGAGCGAACCTTTTTGGTGAACTGATTTGAATCACTCAGGTGAATCAAAATCCCACTAATAATATTTTCTGGGATGTGTTGTAGTTTGGTAATCAAGGTAATGAACACAGCCTTTGTCAAGTCAGAGTTAAAGAGGTATCAACTCTTTAATGGACTCTCAGATCAAACTTACAGCACCCTGGCAAACTACAACACACTGGCATTGTGGTCACGACTTTGACATGGTTTAGCACCATTCACCTTTCCTTAGAAAAAGTAGAATTGTTATTTAATTTGCACAAATCTCTATGTCTTGACTTTACCTTCAAAATGTATTTTGTTTGCCATATTTCATTAGCATTGGGATGCATATATTCTGCTACATTGTACGTACTGCGTACAGACTAGCTAGTAGGCCTACATACATACTGTATTGCTAGCAGTGAGTTTTAAGATTTTTTTCAAGGACATATGGTTGAGTTAATCATAATTTTAAATGATTCAAAAGTTTTCCACCGACAGTACCTGGAATCCCACAGAAGATTAAATTTGAATAGGGAGAGGCAATACCTTTGCATGTGCTCTGCCTGTTACCATGGTATCACCAGTTATGTAAATACATGCAATCTACTATATATACTATGATAAAATACAAAGATGTATTTGTGCATTGAAACTGAAATCTTGATGTTTGCAAGGACAAAATTACAAACAGACGGAAGATTCAACCGATTCACATTTCCACCTAAGAGCTGAGAATCTTTTGCATCACGTGGAAGAAGGTGTGTGTGTATGTTGTTTTGTGTGTCAGAGAGAGATAGTATGAGGGCTGAAACAGGTAACAAATCCTTTGCTTCGACAGGTGGATGAATATTTGGGAACACATTGCAAAATTCTGTAAGTAGACAGATTTGTCTTTTGAGCGTTTTGCTGTACGTAGCTGGAGCGTAGTTAGTGAACTGTGTTGTGACCCAATGGGTCTAATTATGTATAATTCATCAGTGCATGAATCAGTGCAAATTTGTTTTAGTAGTTGTCTAAAAGTCACTGCAAACACACATTTTGGTAACACTTTACAATAAGGTCTCATTTGTTAACATTAGTTAATGCAGTAACTATCATGAACTAACAGTGAGCAATGTATATTTACAGCATTTATTAACCTAATAATGTTAGTTAAAAAACAATCACGCTCATGTTAGCTAACAGTGCATTAACTAATGTTAACAGATACAACTTTTGACCTTTATAACCTTAGTAAATTTTGAACTAAGATGAATAAATTCTTTAAATGTATTGTTCATCGCTAGTTCATGTTAACTAGTGTTAAAGAGTGTTGAAAACTTTTATGAAAGACATTCTGTATGTAAAAGATATTTTATCTGTATGTAAAATATCAATATTGACCCTTAAGTAACAGTTTCTTCTCATATAGGCTAATATCAGGATAGGCCAACCAACATATCAACATGGATAAGTTCCGTATGATGGCCCAGATTCTCCAGTCCAACCAAGAGTCTTTTATGAATGGTATTTGTGGCGTCATGGCCCTGGCGAGCGCTCAGCTCTACACGTCTTTTGAATTCAACTGTCCCTGTATCCCTGAATACAACTACTCGTATGGGATCAGTATGCTAGTTATTCCACCTATATGGTTCTTCCTTTTGGGTTTTGTACTAAACAACAATGTCTCGATGCTGGCGGAGGAGTGGAAACGGCCAGTTCTTCCTTGTACTAAACAACAATGTCTCGATGCTGGCGGAGGAGTGGAAACGGCCAGTGGGACAGCGGGGACAGCGGAGTGCGGTCATGCGCTACATGTGTGTGTCCATATCCCAGCGATCGCTCATCGCGCCAGCCGTTTGGATCTCAGTGACTCTAATGGATGGTAAAAGCTTCCTGTGTGCCTACAGTATGGACCTGGATATGTCCGAATTTGGCAAGAATGTAAGTGGACACGGACTGTCTCAAGAGGACCTCTTACGAACACTGGCCAAAATACCATGCAAGCATATATATGATGGCCAGCACATCCTATCGAGAGAGGCCGCCACCAGATACATACGCTGTATTTCACAGGTAAGATGATCTGCTTACTGTATTATTTGCCACTGCTTGATATTAAAGGGATAGATTACAAAATGAAAATGCTGTCATTAATTATTCACCCTCATGTCGTTTCAAACCCGTAAGACCTTAAATTAAGATATTTTTGATGGAATCTGAGAGCTGTCTGACCCTGCATAGACAGCAACGCAACTGAAATGTTCCC